CCAGATTGTTCCATCTTGTTGACTTAGGTGATCTGGGAGTCTGGCTGTGAGAGTTATTTCTGTGACTTCTCATTTCAATGGATGCAGCCTGCCATGCTTCTGTTGATGCAATGTTTTGCTTACCCACTGGTCTTCAATTCTCATCAAGCAACTGAGCAGCTTTTTTCTCTGTTGATCATGATTACACCATTTCCTGCATTTAGAATGGTGACCTTCTTGGTCTCTGAGCTGACGTGTTGTCTGGATGGGCTTCCCTCTGGGGTCTGTGCACACTTGTGATGGTATCATGGTGTCCTGCTTGCTGGGGACCATATTTACCTATTGTCTGGGAGGCCCTCTGTCTTGGGGCTGTGCACCCCAGTTTATGATGTCTGTGCAAGTTCCTGGCTAGGGTCTCCACTCACTTATCAATGGTATTGGTGCAAGCCTCTGGTTGAAGCTTGCATGTCTATGCCGTTGTTTTCTGGGAGGGTCTTTAGCTTCAGCAGGTGTTCCTGAGCCTCTGGGATTGGGGCAGTGCTCTGGTTGGATCTGCCTCCACCTGTGCTTCTCTAGTCTACTCCACTATTCCTTGGGATCCACATGTACTCAAGAATGATATGGTGGGCCTCTGGCTCTGCCAGTATCTTATGAAAGATTTTTGCATCTATGAAAACATGAAACACTTTGCATTTTTCATTCCTACCTGAAATTTGGAGTCCCATTGCCTTACATTGTCTTCAGAACTTGGCATGTTAAGTTTCTTAGAAATAGTTTTAGCCTTTGAGATGGGTATGTAGTTATATTTTACTCTTTTTATGTTACATTTTTTTCTATGACTAATACTGTTGAGCACCTTAACTATGATTGTTAGCTAACTGTCTATGGAGAAGTGTCTATTTAAGTATTTTCTTATGTCTTTATTAAATTGTTTAGTTATATTTTGGTTATTGAATTTTCAGTGTCCTTTCCACTTTCTGATAACTCTTTTGTCTAATATGTAATTTTCAATGTTTTTTCTCAATGTGTAGCTGGACTTTATGTTCTCTTAACAGTGCCTTTCATAGACCAAAAGGTTTTGTTAAACTTTTGGGGGTTTTTTGATGTAATATATAGGTATATTTTTTCCAAACTAAAATATATAACTATTTTGTCTTAAATTTATTTTTTCTTTTAACCTGAATGGTAGGTTGATTTCATTTTTAAAATCATATTGTGATCTGCAGAACAAGTTTATTTCTCTCTTCTTTACTTCTAACTTCTTATCTCTCTTCCTTTGTAACTGTGTCTCTGTTTCTTCTAATACTCTGCCTCTTTCTCCTTCCTTCCTTTGCTTCTTTTTTTCCACTTCTGTGTTCAGTTATTCCAACATTACTTGTTGAAAGATTTGCCTTTCTTCTTTAAATTCTCTTTTTACCTTTCTCAAAAATTAACTGACTACTTTGATGTGGGAATATTTCTAGACTCTATTCTGTTCCATTGACCTGTTTTCACTTTGTCATCAATGTCACATCATTCTCATAATTATAGCCTATAATAAGTCTCAAATTGGGTTATGTGAATCTTTTAATTATGCTTTTTCAAATTGTAGTGATCTTTCCTGTTTCTTTATATATCTGTAGACATTTTAGCATTAAGGTTTTTGATAACAAAAAATCTTGCTAAGATTCTGTCTGAAATTGTGTTAAATCTGTTGATTGATTTGAGAAAACTGACATCTTAATAATATTGTTTTCCAGGAAATGTAGTATATTTTATATTTATTTAAGGCTTTTGAAAAATCAATATTTTGTTTTATTTTAGTCAGATACGAATGCACCTTTTTAGGTTTTAGACCTAAGTATTTGATTTCTTGCCATGTTCATAACGAATGCTTTCTGTAAATGCTTAATATTTTATTCCTCCTACATAGAAAGACAACTGAATTTTGTACTTCGACTTATATTCTTTAACCTACTAGTTGCTAATAAGAAAGTTTTTTCTAGATTCCATATTGGTTTCTATGTAGACAATGATATAATCTGGAATCATGAACCATTCTATATCCTCTGTTCAAATCAATATGGGTATTATTTCCCTTGTTCTATTGCATTGGCTAGGACTTCTATTTCAGTGTCTCTATGTCATCTATAACTCATCAAGGAATGGAGAGTCAGTATAGCAAAAGTGAAGATAGGTGTGGCAGAAAATAAAACTATTCAAAATCTGTAACTTCACTGAATTGAATGTGATTAACTTTTTATGCTAGTTAAAAGCATTTACATTTTGGAAGGCAATGGAAAGTCATCTAGTAAGAAATGGATATCAGAAAAAATAAAAGCTGACATGAACTGCAGTAAGCATGTAGCCTGGTAGTGAACAGGAATAAACTGAGATATTGGATTAAACCAAGGAAAAGATAAGCATAGGAAATGGCCCCTCTACCAATCTCCCTCCTAAGGAAGTATAAATCTAAGAAAGTATAGTGGATCTCTAAGCCTTTTCTGAGCTAGCAGGTGTATATGAAGGAATCCTAATCTAGGGTAATAAATGATAAAACCCCTGAAATGAATGGATGGACAATGAGTAAGTCTTTCACAAATGGAACTAGAAGCAGAAATTAATGGAGTTTATTGTAAAATGATAGATGTTACAGAGGTAGGTTAACCTAACTGTACATACTTTTGGAAGCAAGAAAGGGAGAGGGAAGGGGGGAATTTTGTACAAAGATAGCCTTCAATTTTCTTTGTGTTTACTATGTGTGAACCAGGAAACTGAGAAGACAAAGTAGTTTGCATAGAATATTGATGGTTTGGAATATTTCTTGTCATGGGAATAAAGGTAAGGATTCATAATGGATGCATAAAAGACTAGAAAATATTTAGTTAGCTTTTCATCCCTATGACAAACTTCATGCGAAAAAACAACTTAAAAGGAGGAAAGGTTTATTTTGGGTCACAAATTCCTAAGATTCATTCCATAGTTTCTCTATGTTTCTGGTCCCAAGATAAGGTGGAACATCAACAATACAGAGCATGTTGTGGAATGAGCTGCTCACCTCATGGAGGTTAGAAAGTAGAGAGAGACTGGCAAGAAGGGGCTGGTGGAGGAAGGTGGCCTGTGAAAGACCTTCCCCCAAGACCTTCCTCCTCCAAGTAGCAGCCCCCCACTCGTTTCTCTCTCTTCCAAGTAGTGTTTCAAATTGGGGAACAGAGGGGCCGGGGATTTAGCTCAGTGGTTCTGCCACCTGCCTCGCAAGCACAAGGACCCAAGTTTGATCCCTGGTACCAAAAAAAAAAAACAAAACCAAAAACCAAAAACCAAAAACCAAAACAAAGCAAAAAAAACACACACAAAAAAACAAAAACAAAAATCAAATTGGGGAAATCAGATATAAAATATATTTCATGCTGTCTTCTTCAAAGACATAATATATTTTGTTGCTGCTAATATATGACTCAATTCAAAGATAGAGATAAGGAGCAGCAGTAACTAGCAAAAGTCAATATTGCCATATTCATAAATGAGGATAAAAATTAGGAGTTTTACTTTGAATACGTAGATATCCACCACTGAAATCTTAGGGCTGCTACTACTTAATTTGATGATAGAGTTCTTGTTAAATAAATTTTCTCATTCTATGGTTTCCCTTTTATAAAACTGAAACAGTAATATCCTTCTCAAAGTATGTGTATGATAATTAGATAACCTACACAAAATTAATTTTCAATAAACATCACTTCCTTTCACTATCTCAAAAATTTCAAAAGATTGAACTTTAAAGTAGTGAGGATTTTAGGACTTACATTTGGATTCTAATCTAGGTGAAAGGCTGGAAGCTAGAAAACGTGTGGGGACACTATTTCTAGAAATACCTAGATGTAAAATACTTTACAGAATGCAAGCTGCTGTTTGCATAGATATTGTCTATTTTGGATCTTCCAATTGGTCTGACTAGAGATAGCAGAAAGGGCTAAAACTACCTTTCATTTGAAAATTTCCCCTTGGCTCTCCTATTGGTGCTATTTAATGTTGCTTGGTGAAATGGGTCATATCTCACCTTTTTTTTGTAGATCCTAGCTGGTGCTATTGATTAAAGTTGCTTGGTGAAATACGTCATATCTCACTATTTTTATAGACTCTAGCTGAGTGCCCAAGTCAAAGGTCATAGTGCAAAAAGAGTTAGTTATATTACTTTTTTGCTGAGAACTCAAGAGGGTGACATCTAGTAAATCAGTCTGTAGACAACAGTTCCAAGAGGGAAACAAAAGATCAGAAGTTCTTCTTTTTAAATCCCTGAGATCATAATTTTCTATGTCTCAGTGGTGCTTACAAGCCTAGATGATGGCATCTCACAGACCTAAAGCCTATCAACAACCTTTTATGGACAGCAGATAGAAGGAGAGGGGCTGGGCAACTTCTGATTGTGGGATTCAGGCTTTTATGAGCAGTCACTGGGGTATTATAAATATACTCACAAAGTATAAAGTTCTCTTCTGAGGTCAAATGGAAAACTCTACAGGATATAGTCAAAGTTTAACTCTGAAGTAAGATTCCTAAAAGTAATGTATAGAGTTTGAACAACTTAGACTTTTGGAAAGGTCTCAGACCATCAAAGAACCATTTACTGACCCTGCCTTGAAAGAAAACAACTAGAATAATAATTGAGAAACTGAGTATACTAAGGACTAAAGACATAAGCTAAAGAAAAGGAAACATGCAAGTATTTAAACAACTTAAGATCTAATAATAAGGGAATTGCAGGGTAATTGATTCGGAAGTGCAAGGTTTATGTTTAACGTTTTGTTGTCTCTAGCAACCAAAAGGAAACATTCAATGTTTGCAGAATTTTATTCTTTATTACTTCCTGGAGCCAAATTGATTAACTCTGAAGTTTCATAGATTGTAGAAGTTTTTGGACTATTCTTTGCTCTATTTTCACTATAACTTTTTTGTTATGAAGTTTTCCTTATGATGTCACCTGATTTCTTCAGTTTTTCCAAACTACTGAGCATTGGTAACAGGCTAAATAGATGTTTACCTTCGTCCTCATTGTTCCATGAATTTTGGCTGAAACTGGTTACAGTGATGCTAGGTTAAGGAATATGATCAGTTATGTATAGAAATCTCTAATGAAACAATCAAAATAAATTTTAATAAATTTGGACTTTCATAATAAACCTAAGCTCAGTTTCACTTTTAGGATGATAACAAAATGTAAATCAATCAACCAAAAGCAATATATCTATGTGATACACTTAAAATGAGAATCTCTGCCTGACTTATTTATTTATTTTTCTATGAATGACTCTAATTCCTCATTCTTTATGGCTGAGTAGTATTTCATTTTATAGAAAAAAAAAACACATCTTCTTTATACAGTCTCCAACTGATAGGCAAATGGGCTGTTTCCAAGTTTTAGCTATTACAAACTGCGCTGCTATAAACATGGGTGTGCACATATCACTGTGGTATGATTCTTTTAATTCTTTTAGAAAGATACCCAGCAGAGGGATGGCTGGGTCAAATGGAACCTGTAATCCTAGTTCTTTGAGGTATCTCCATATGATTTCTATAGTGGTTGCGCCAGTCTGCACTCCCACCAACGATGGAGAAGGGTTCCTTTCTCCCTACTTCCTTCCCAACATTTGTTATTGGTGGATTTCTTGATAGCAGCCATTCTTTGTGGGATGAGGTGGAATCTCAATGTTCTTTTCACCTGCATCTCTCAAATGACCAGTGATGTGGAATATTTACTTGCTGCATTTACTTCTTTGTCTGAGAAATGTCTGTTCATTTCTGATGCCCATTTTTGAATCAGGTCTTTATATTTGGGGGGGCTGGATTTTTTGGAGTTCATTATATATTCTAGATAATAGTCCTTTGTCTGAGGAGCAGCTGGTAAAAAGCACCACTGAAGCATTTAATGATGAAGGTGTAGTAGAGCATCTTGCTTGTAATTCTCCCACTGGCATAGGACCCTAGCTATCTGATTGGCCACAGAGTTGGACTTGCTCATGAGTCCAAGAGAACAGAGTTATGGAAAGTGTTCTTAGAGGCAGCATTCAAAGAAAGGAGCCCAAAACCAAAACTAACTTAAATTCTAAACTGTAAATGTACAAGTAATAAGCAAAGGGAGAAACAGTGAACTAGCAAATTGGAATCCAGACAAGAATGTCAAAATCCCTGCTTAGTGGGACTTGCTGTTTCCTTAACAACTTAAGGAAATTTTATGACTTGGTAGGCATATGAAAATACTTGTGAATGGTGAATCAACTGTCTGATGAAATGTATAATTGAAAATATTTACTTAATAGAGCTAGGCTCTTTAATTTGCAGAGTGAACCAGATTAATGGTAAAAGGATAGAATTTGGCAAAATACTGAAAGATTAATCTTTTTTTTTTAGGTTTTTGAGATAAGGTCTCACTCTTTAGTTTAGGCTGTCCTTGAACTCATAGTGATTCCCCTGTTTTAGCTTCCCAAGTGTTGGGATTATAAGTGTGTGCCACCACACCTGGCTGTAAAACTAAATGTTTAAATAAAGAAGCATCTTTATTTTAAAGATCAATCAAATGTAGTAGGGCAAGGGTAAAGTAGATAGATATTTTATGTTCAGAAGAGAAATATGCTACACACTGAAACTGTTGGTGAATTGGCTCATGAATTCTTTAAGTCTATATATTTGAAAGAAGAAATCAAAGTCCACGTTATTGTTAGGATTTCTTCTTTGGTAATTTTTCAAGTTTGTTGATTGCCTACCATTATGAGAAAAAAATTTTGACCAAAGAAACCCAACATATCTTTTTATGAATTTTATGAACCTGGACAAATGGAGATATGTCAAAATAAGAAAAAATTAAAATGACAACTATTATTCCTGCTAATGGTGCTATATTTTCATGTTTTACACTTTCTTGGCAAGGAGAGCTTCAGTTTAAAAGACCCCAGATTCTGTACCTACACTACCAGTGTGTGACTCTGGCTCTACCACTTAAGAATTATTTAACCTTGGATGACTTATTTAACTCCCCATTTTTTCAGTTTTCTTAATTGTAAAATAGGATGACTAGATCTCTCACCCAGTTAGGGTCATTGTAATAATTAGAAGGGCTAATTTATGTTAAATGCTGTGAACTATATCCTACACATAACAAAAGAATATTAGCAACCATTATTGGTTGATGCCTTAAGTAAAGCTGGATTCAAGATTAATAAATATGAATATATTCCTATATTTTAAAAAAGAAGTCTCTGATCCAAGATCTGTCATGTAAAAGTACAAGATCCCGATAATGAATGTAACTGTACTGTATGCCTAGAATGTACCAATAAACTCAATTAAAAAAAAGAGAAGTCTTTGTAATTTATTTTGTTTGCCTTTAGCTGACTTCTTGTACTACCTGGTTAGGTCATTGTTGCCTATTTCTTAAAATATAGCTGAGGAAGCATTGTAGAGTAACAAAACACTAAGCTCTCTAATTTTGTTATTGTTTACTATTACTTTCACTATTAGTATAAACATCAATTCATGATTTCTTACGAAGAATATAGTTATTCCATTTTCTTCATTGTCATATTTAATTACCTTGGAATTACATAATGTAATTGACTATGCCATTCAAGTACTTACAAGTAAACTTCATTAAGTCACAATACTTAATGAACCCAAAGGAAAATGAAAAGCAACGTTTTTGTTGTTTTATGCTGAATCACAATTAATTGTTTGTCATGACAACTATTATTTTTCAAGATTTTTGTGAGTCAGGAATTTAGGCACCCTTGACAGAAGTTTTTCTGCTTCCTATGAGGATGGTTCAGGTCATCTGTGGTACTTACCTGGCAGACAGATCTGTAGGGCTGAAGATGGATTTAGTAATATTTGGTGCCTGGAAATGATCAGAAGACTGGGGTCAGTTGAGACTGTTCAGAGTATCCATATATGTTTCTGTATTAATGCTGTCTTCAGAGAGCCAGTCTCTCGAGCCTTTGGATGAAAAATTGGCCAACTCTCACTTATACTACATTTGATTAATGAAATCACTTATGGAGCCCACTCACATTCATGAGATTTTCAAACGATTTACATCTATCCACAATTCTTATAAATTATTAATTCCCTGAAAGTATCTGGTGTAAAACTTTGGTAAGTATGATGGTGTAATCCATACATTGCAAATTAATGCATCTTTAATTATTAAATTTTCTTAAATGGAATTAGAAATCATAATATATTATCCTTATACACCAGTGGATCATCACATTCACAACCTGTTTGAAGCAATACTAAACAAATATTTTTGCTTAATATATTATCTGTTCTAACATTTCATATTTTATAGTAATATATTCACTTCAATGTAGATTTCACAATGGCTTAACCATACTCTGAGAGTCTCCTTTATCCTCTCTGTGTCCTGTTCTTTCCCCTAAGAAAGTTAGTATGTGCTTTACATAAATTTGAGCCACAGGAAAAACATTTTTAAATAGAAAAAATGTCAAAGCCTCATGTGGTCACAGGTGAAGCTTTTCAGATGTGGCTGGATCTAGAATGTGTGATTTTGGGATTAAATATGTGATGTGATGATCAAGGGTGTGTGATTACTAAATTAGCCCATTGATTGATTTGGCAGAGTTCTCAGAATGTATAATGAGAAAGTCCTCCCTGTGTGTGAGTGCTACCTGCCCTAAGAGTGGGTTGCTTCACTGTCTTCTGTCCACCATGAACTGTTTCTCCAATGTAATGCCCTTGTACCATCCAGGCTACCTTTGTGCCAGACAGCTATGAACTGAAACTTCTAAAACCTGTGAGCCAAAAATAAACCTTTCCCCCTTAATTTTGGGTGTCAGATATTTTGTCTTAGCAATGAGAAAAGTAAGACAATGCAAGAAGCATTTATGCCATGTGCATAAAAGTAACAAACAAATTTTCTGACTTAACCTTTATCCTCTGTTGGCTTTCATAATACACTTTTCTATTTATCCCTATCCTAACAAGAAGGGTATTCAGATATTTGGCAATCAGAAATTCTAGGCATTGGAAAGCTAAGTTAAACAAATTTGGAAAGGATTAGAACCAATTTTCTCACAGAAGTCACATGACAAAAGCTGTTGCTCATCCATTCATTCATGTGTAACAAATATTTATTGTGAGCTAGTAAGATTCTTACTTGGAGCAGATAATATAGAGGCACTATACTAAAATCCAATAACTTTTAGGATAACTTATTGGCAATTAAAGACTGTGTAACCTACATTTGAAAGTGGCTACACTTTAAAAGATACTTTATACTCTTGTCATTTTTCTCAGGTTAGGAAGTTTTCACAGGCTTTGACATGAATGTCTCTGTAGGTGGCTTGCAGGAAGGTAAGAGCTTTGCTTGACAGGGCGTCTTGCACTAAAAGTAATATAAGTAGTAACATTACATAAGCCTGTATGAGAGGTAACTCAAGGGGCAGATTCATTGGATTAAGAACAATTTATTTTCTTCTAGAGAAACCATTAGTTTATAAAAACCCCTCTGGAAGTGACTACTTGCTCAGAGTATGACTCACATTAATGTATCCCTAGCTTATAATTTCTTCTCCAAAATATTGTTTTTTTTAGTTTTCCTTACTACTCATGACCTGATGTTGGAAATTATGCTTAATGAAATATATGATACATTAGCTAGTAGATTATCATGCTAGATAATTATTTAAAAGATTATTTTATAAAACCTAAAGAATTTTTATATAAGCCAAATAAATATCCATTAGCAAATTTTATCAGATCTGTTGAGAAATGTTCTTGGCAATAACCTTGTAATGTTATTTATATGACAAAACTTTCAGTTTGAATTTGAATTCCTCAAACCACCAATGATTTTGAACACTCTTCATATATGTACTTGCCATATCTATTTTTTTCATCTGAGAAGTGTCTATTCATTTCATATGTCCATTTTGGGATTGGATCTTCAGATTTTGGGGGGTCTGATTTTTTAATTTCTTTACATAGTCTAAATAGTAATCCTTTGTCCAACGAACAGCTGGCAAACATTTTTCCCACTCTGTGCATGTCTCTTCACTCTGCTGGTGATTTCTTTTGCTGTGCAAAAGTTTTAGTGACTTGAGGTTCCAGTTATTGATAATGTGCAATATTTCCTATGCAATCTTTGTTGTCTTCATAAAGTCTTTGCTTACATTTATGTCTTCAAGAGTTCTGCCTCTTCCATCTTCCAGCAGATTTAGTGTTTCCGTTTTAATATTTAGATCTTTGTTCCATTTTGATTTTAGTTTAGTGCATGGTGAGAGACATGGGTCTAGTTTTAGTCTTCAGCATATGGAAAGCCAGTTTTCCAGCACCATTTATTTTTTTTCTTTTTATTGAG